CATTTTCGTTTGGCCTTTAAACTCATCATTACAAGATATCTCAGACAATATTTTGGGATCGTTGGGAAAACTCATATGCATATAAATCCTGCTCACAGATCATGGGACTCAAGGAGCAGTTCATTAAAATTGAGCCTGGTACAGCTCTTGTTTCAGAGTACTTCGAAACATCAAAAGGAATAGCAGATGAATTGGCTTGGATAGATTCCCACGTTCTCAATGATAATATTACAGTTTATATTTTAAATGGACTTGGCACTGGTTATGCAACCATTTTAGAGGCCATCTGAACGACAGAAAAGATCATTCATTCTGAAGAACTGTATGATCTCCTTGTGATAGATGAAGCCGCTCCTAAACGAGGGGAAAATAGTGCTACCAACATAGCCATGACAACCAACAACATCGGCTTCAAAAGAAACGGTAATCAATCTCAACAAGGACAAATGTATAACAATACCAACTTCAGTAGTTTTAGTGGCTGCAATGGAAATAATTTAAACACCTACAAAATCCCAAGGGCAACACAGTAATGGAAGCAAATGTGGACATGTAGCCCATCTTCCAGCAACAGAACGATTGAAGCAAATGCCTCTTCCTATTGGATAATGGACTCCGCAGCATCCTATCATTCACATCCAATTAGGACAACCTCTCTTTATGCCAAACTTATGAAGGCATTGATGATGAATTCTGCTCCATGTATAGAACTTATGTATATGTTGGTTGAGAAATGCATAAATTCAAATCAAGGGACATGCATGCACCTGTCAACCTATCTATACAGAAACATTTGTACAAGTAGAATAATTACTTGATTATATAATCACTGGTGATGGTACAAGTCTTAAAATTTCTCATACAAGCTCCTCTACTCTCTTTACTCCCTAAAAATAATTTCATTAACTAATGTCCTTTGTGTTCTTTTAATGCAAAACAACTTAATTCAAATTTCTTGTTTCGCCATTCTAAAAATTCTTCGCTAGAAAGCTATATATCTCCCGGTAACTCATGATAAAAGAAATGAGAACAAGGATAAAAAGGTCTTAAAAAGAAGAATGAATTGCTAATAAAGCAAAAGAACAATACTAATGTCTATTTTTTTTTTGTAAGAAGAAAGGGAATATGAAGGACCGTTTCAAGTATAAGAAATGATGCAAAAATAAATGCACTCTTGTTTCTTTAGTGTGCCATGAATCTCATTTTGTTAATATTCCAAACAATACGTGGTGGATTATGCTACTATAATTCACACTGTGAGTACTATGTAAGACTTTCTAAACCTAAAAAAAAAAATCACAACTAAATAAGCAAAGTATCTATTTTGAAAATCGGTTGAAACCATAGAACGATATAAAGCCAGGCTTATATTCAAGAGTTTCACTCAAAATGAATGCATTGATTATCATAAGACATTTTCTCCTTTTTCTAAGAATGATTCATTTAGAACTATAATGGCTTTAGTAACTCCTTTTGATCAAAAGCTACATCAAAGACATGTAAAAACGATATTCTTAAATGGGGATCTTTAAAAAATATACAAAAAATAGTCTAAAGGAGTTATTAGTGATGAACATAATCACGTGATTGGCAAATTAAGAAAATCTATATATGGGATAAAATAGGATTTTATTTGAAGTTTCACAATGTTGTTGGTTGATATGATTTTACAGAAAATACCATTTATCAATGCATATCTTAAAGTCAATTGGAGCAAATATGTTTTTAGTCCAATATTTAGATACCATTTTACATGCAAGTAGCGATTTGAGTTTGTAGCGTGTTATGATGTTGATTTATTCCTTCGATTGTTCCAAGATCTAGGCTCAGTTAATCACCAAAGACAACACCACAATCGAAGCCAACAACCACAAACCAAACACTTCTCCAAAACCTAACTGGTTGCTCTAATTAATCAGCCCACAAA